ATAGAGCTGCTATTGCTTTACTTTATTGTTATAATCACACTATGATAGGACTTGCATTGTAGTATGCTTTCTTGATGGCCTTTATCTTGACGCAACCTTACCCCTGCTCACCCTATTGTTAGGCTAAGACACACGCTTGCTGCTATATTTCACTGCTTATTATTTCTACTACGCTTATATATACCATATTGATGCGTGGTGGAAACTGATGTTATCTGGACTATGGGGAGAGTGCTACGTGTGTGACTTGGGTGTGTGGAGAGTGAGGGTTGTGTCGACCAAGTTGGAATATACGACGAGCCTGGGGCAAGTCTTGCCACGAGGTGCTACCTGGGCACCCCTAGAAATGGATATCTGTGGTGGGTAAATGGTATATGAGGTGGTCCTGGGTGTGAACCTGTGATGGGAGGAGCCCAGGGTGGAGGTGCTGTGGTGGCACGATAAATGGAAACCCTGATGAAGACATTTTGGCTTGGTCATCCCTAAGGACTTACTAGTACTCAGATTCACCGGAAAGCCTTACGTACCACTCGCCCTATATGGTGCGGGACGGTCGGACTATTTGGTAGGATATTGCCACTACTGCTAGGTTGATAGTGGACAGTGCGAGGGAGGTACGGGGCGCGGAGGATTCCCCCACACCCTTTCGAGACTTCATGGAGACCTTGTGGACCCGGCTCATGACTCACAGTTTCAGCCACCCCAGACCAGACTTGGGGTGTACCAGGGCTGAATGGTAGAGTGGCATTATCCTAGGCTAGCAAGCGGCCGGAATCAGCCTAGTTGACGACGGTCAGCGAGGAAGGTGGATCTTGTGGTTATGTAAAACCTCTGCAGAGTGTATGGTTGATCGATCGATACATATGCCGACTTGTCGGCTATGGACCTTTTCTGGATTTCGCTTAAACTAGATAGTGAGATGAGTCATTCTCTTCTTCCCCTGTGAGAGAGTGTCGGACATAGCCAGGGGATACGGGCCATGAGACAGTGCCGAGAGGGAGTTGGCCTGTCGACTGAGCGATGGTATGGTGGTGATGTGGTGATAATGTGGAGATGATGGTATATCAATCACAGGATCGAAACCTGGCTCTGGACGGAAATGGGGTGGAATGGGTGTGGAATTGATGTTAAAACTTAACCAACTGTTATTATATACTTGATATGCTAATACATAGGAAACCCCAGCCTTATATGTTTCTTTTGATTATATCCAACTTGCATCCAATTTCCACAAAGCAATGCTCATAGGGTGGGAGTGGCCAGTACAAATCGTACTGATAAATTTTGGCACACAGATTCAGCTAAGGAGTATAGCTCTGAGGAGTTTGACGGTTGAGGGGTTCGTTCCTACGCTCGAGTTTGGCGATCTTATCTTCAAGCTGTTCTGAATGAATGTTACTTTTGATTCCGCCAATGCGGCGATGTAATAATTTATGTAATTCCGCACTATTTGTACTCTAATATTACGTTGTATGGATGTGATATTCGACTAGAATTTGGGTAATATGATCTACAACGGTCTTATTACACTTCGACGCTGTGAATTTTCCTTCGCGAAAATCAAAAATCAGGTCGTTTCAGTTTAGGCTCTCCCGTGGCATTGTATCTAGCAGCTCGCGGTGTCGGTAATTATCCTCTCTGCTGTGAAGTTTTTTTTCTTAGAGGGAATCAGGAGGCCTACTGCAATACATATTTTAAATTGAAAAGTAAAGAGTTAACCCAAGTGAAGTACAAACAAGCTTAAGAAACAAAGAAAGTTAACCGAATTAAACTAAGTTTTCTATCCATGTATCAATTAAAGGGAAGTAGTTCCGCTTTGCCCTCATGGTGAACAGAGAAAATTCTGATTTAAAGCTCTTGGAAGTCAAAACAGACGGTTGGATTCCTTGGAAAATTAGATCATTTCTTGCCTTCCAAATGCTCCAGCACATAATGATGATAATTTCCATAAAGAAGGGCATGTTAAGTTGCTGATTGAACTGATCAAGACATTCAAAAGGGTCCAGGTCTGAGCTTGTCTGCACATTAACTAGGTTACAACAGGCAGTAGCAAACGGACAGAGAATGAACAAATGCTGCAAAGATTCTTCAATCTGATTGTTCCAAAGGACACAGTTATAGCTAGGAAGATCCATGTTTTTTTCCTTCTCAACAGCTGCCTCAATCCTCATACTCTGCTGTGAAGTTGTGTTTAATGTTAGTTTCTCAAGGAAGAAATTATATTTCTTTAATGATAAGACAGATTTCTAGACGTAGTCCTTCTCCTTCTTGACAAAGTTTTTTACATATCTTATATGTGTAAAGTGAATTTGTTGGTGGGCTCCAGTTCACTAATTTGTTGTATTCACTAATGTATCATTGCTTACAGCTTGTTATCTTATTAGGTTGCTTGGGCATTGTGGATGGTGATGATGTTGAACTGAATAACCTTCATCGACAGGTGAAATAATTTGGCATGTCTTCTGTCCCTCTTATCTAGCGTTCTCAATATTTTCTTTGGATTATATTTAAACACTGAATCATCTGCATGATGTATTCTTGTTGTTCTTGGTAACTCAATTAGAAGGGAGATATAAATATGCACTCATAAGCTAGCAAATTTGTAGTGAAGTGAGAGTTCCGCTTGATAAAACAAGAACATAACCCATGATCAAAATTGGTTTTTTTAACCTGTGGCAGACATACATATCAATGCTAACCTTGTTTTTTGTTCTCAAACTCTCTTAGATAATTCATAAAGAAGCATATGTTGGACAATCAAAAGTGAAGTCAGCAGCTGATGCTTGCCGTGAGTAAGAAACTATCCTTTTGGCAGTTTTCTCTGCATTGGTTGCCAACCAAATGTACTATTTGATGCTACTATTTCACTATATCACATATGTTGTCTCAAATCAGGATTAATTCCTCTATCAAGGTAGTAGAGCATCATCATACTCTGAAGCCATGCAATGCTTTGGAGGTTGTGCGGAAGTATCCTTACTATATATGCTGTGACAGATACAGTATTTTTTGTTGTAAATGATGCACGCTATATTTGATATGGAATTCTTGCTCTGCCATGTTACCCCATCAATACGATATAGTGTAATATCTTTTTATTGATTTCATGTATTCATGCATTGATCAATCACTTACATTTGACCTACTTCTTGTATCTGGTGCGGCATTAGGTTTAGAAGGGCAGGTAAGCATCTTTCTTGCCAAAGATATTGCACCCTTTTTACTTCACCTTATATCTTTCATTCATTCATTCATTGTCTTCTCTAACAGTTGACTGTTTATCATCATAATGGAAGTCCATGCTATCGGTGCCTCTTTCCAAGTCCACCACCTGTGGCAGCTTGCCAGAGATGCTCAGACAGTGGTGTTCTTGGGGTTGGTAGGTGACACTGTAGAAGCTCGTCATTAGTACAGTGGCAAAAACTTAGATTTTTTTTTGTCCTGTTTAAAATTCATCAAACTTCTTTGTTTATATGATGTGGACTTCAACCCAAATAGGATATTTTAAATCATGAGTTAGTGGCTCCAATGTTGTGTAATTTTAATATTTTTTCATGCCCATATTAATCCTTAATTATTCAGTGGCTACAGGTTTTTGTTGGTTCACTCAATGATGTAATTACTAAAATGGCTTTTTCTTCAGGGTGTTCTTAAATATTGTGGTATTTACTGTGCTTTTACAAGAAATCAGTGTAGACACCTCAGTTAAGTTAGCAATTTGTATAATTAGTAATTAGTTTATATAGTTTGCTGCTATATATGATTGATGCCCTGTTAGTTACTTTATTAGACATAGTTTTGCACTGGTGTACTAACTACTGTTTTGTTTACTAGCTCCGGGAGTGATTGGTTGCTTACAAGCTCTGGAGGCTATAAAGGTTGCAACTGGTGTTGGTGAGCCCCTATGTGGAAGAATGCTACTATTTGATGCACTCTCTGCTCGTGTTAGAATTGTATGTGAATTCACTCTGTAAATTTATTGTCTTTGGATGCATGATCACAATTTATCCTAATCCCAGCACCATCGTCCATCGGGGGATGACAATGCTGCATCCTCCTATCTAGTTTTAACTTGCACCTTCTTTCTAGTATATTTATCACAGATTCGAGTCTAATACAAGAATTACAATAGTGGGATAGGATAATGTTGCCAATCATGTTTTATTATAAAAGAATTGAAATTGGTTCTAACAAGAAAGTAATCCTTTATAGGATCATTCTCAGCACTAGTGAGAAAAGTGTGTCTGGTTGAGTGGTTGTTTGGTGTATGGGTTACGAACCTTTTTCTTCTTAATATAATGATACACAGCTCTCCTGCGTGTTCATGAAAAAAAAAAGAGAGAAACTTTGACTCTCTTTTCTTATGGAAACAACCTTTTTCTACTGTGTTGTATCCTTATATGTGATGGTCACATCTTGATTGTGCCTCATAAAGTTTAGTTTTGTGCTTTTGATCCAATATATAATACCTTCGAGCCATTTAGATTCTGGGAACATAGCTGTTGCTAGCAGGGTTAACTCCCCTGTTTTAATGTTTTCCAGACCTTCGCAGAGAGCTGGTAACTAACGTATTCCCAGCACCAGTAGTTAGTGTTACAAACCTTCTAAAACTTTTAAAAGAATCTAATTGTGAAGTAGCCACCGAAGCTTTCGCCTGGTTTCTTCTCCAAGACTTACTGTGATTTCCAGTCGCCAATGGCATTTGAAACCATGTTTGAGGATTCATCCTATTTGCAGCTGGTCTGCCATTAAGTGGATTATGGCCATCAATGGTTCTGGTCATCCTGCAAATTATTAACAGCCTTTGGTCCTTCGAAGTTGTTTGCATTGCTTGGACGCAAGCTATAGGACTGTCTTAATATAGCTCATTATCATGTCTACGTATATTTGCAGGTTAAGCTTCGTGGAAGCTCTCCAGATTGCACCCATTGTGGCAAAAATTCCTTTTCACAGAACAAGATTTTCAGAAGTTTGACTATGAAAACTTCACACAATCACCAATGTCTGATAAGGTAATGTGAATGGATGCAGTTCAGATCATATCAAGAATGATCTTGAAATCTCTGTGTCCTCATCCACTGTTACATTTACTGCAGGCAGCACCAAGTGTGAACATACTCCCAGAGAGCGCCCGAATCACTTGCAGAGATTACAAAAAACTGGTCGACAATGGTGAACCTCATCTATTGTTGGATGTACGACCTGCACATCACTTCCCAATAGCTTCGATTTCTCCATCTCTGAACATCCCGCTCTTCATGTTGGAAGAGAAGCTGCCTACACTTGAAACCTCACTGAAGGAAACAGGAGAGGCGTCAACCTTGGTTGTCCTGTGTAGAAGAGGCAATGACTCTCAAAGAGCTGTCAAGAAAGGATTTGCCTCAGCGAAGGATATCATCGGTGGGCTGCAGGCGTGGGGACGAGATGTTGATCCTGATTTCCCTGTGTACTAGCGAAATGGATGTAACGATTATCTGGCGCCTATGAGGATTCGTGCTCAAGGTCAAACGTTTACATAGGACACCAGCTTGTGGTGGTGAATTCAAGATTGTTTCCCACGCAGTTAGCTATTGTTCTCAGCTTACAGCCTGTTCGGTTGGCTGGTTCGTTTCGTTTCTGGTTCGTGAAGAAGTACTGCTGGCTGGTTTGTGTAAGAGAAAAATATTATTCCAGCTGAAAATTTACGATCATTTAGGACAAGCCACAGCCAAATGAACAGGCTGTTAGAATGACCTACTTGTTTGAGTTCCTACCTTGTAACAGTTTGAACGCCGCCAGAGATGCTGCTGTTGCAAGAACGAGAACTCTGATACTATTATTTGAGTACTAATTTTACAATACCGTGTACTTGTAACCAAAAAAAAAACATGGAAGACTTGTATGTTAAATCCGCGATGGCTCATGCCATGGACAAAAAAATATTTGAGCTACAAAATTACTTTAAAGGCAACAGATCAAAAATAAGTTTTGATCTTACGATGGGAAGAACTTTATTATCAATCAAACGGCAAGAAATGTTCAGTAACGTAAGGTCATGCACATGTTTTTTTTAAAAAAAAAAATCACGAAGTCACTGAAATTTCTGCTGCGTATTGATTTCTTTACAAAATTTGAAGTGACTATAATCTACCAAAGAACACAAGTTGGGCATTCAATTTACAAGGAAGTCTGTTGGGGCTTAGGACTCAAGAACACTAGATGGTGTGCATTGGCAACAGATGTGTGTGAGGTTGCTGCAGACTTCAAAGGCAGCAGTATGGCCCTAGATATTCTGATCGTGCTATTGCCACCCTCTAGTTTCATATTTCTTCTATGGCAGTAATTGTCTAGGATTTGCTGGCTTGCATTCCAGAATTTCAATTCCAGACAAACCCTGTTTTAGTGTTCAAAAACAAAAGCAGTATGCTGTCTCTGTTACTGTGGCCTTTTCAGGTCCAGCACATCACTTCTCTGGCTTTGGTTGATCATCCATTCCCTCCTCGCATTCCTTAAGAAGTCTTTCTACTGAAGGATCATAAGCAATAGCCATCCGCAGATATTTGGCAGCCTCAGAATTCCGGCCTTCTCTAGATAATATACTGCAATAACAAATGGCAGCACGTTTAGCAACTGTCCAGCATTTTAGGAAAGCAGAGCCACATAAATAAAATCAACAATGGAGTTGAACCACAGTATGTGGCTACACGCTACATGCTGGGCCAAGCTACCCTCTAGAATTAGGTTATTGGTAGCCATAGCGCATCGTATCGATGGACCATTTGTAACAGAATGATCTATAAAAGGACTTTACCTTCCCAAAGTAAGCATCCCTTGGAAGTAGCAGGTTTTGTTGATGGGCTTTTCTGGTTCCTTGAGCTCTGCTATTCTCTGCAGGAGTTTGATTGCAGTCTCATTATCCCCCTACATTGGAAACCGAAGCAATGCTTATGTTGTTCACTCTTATTCCAAATGTTTTTATAAAGTGAGTCCAAATGCAGCATTACTCTACCTGACGCTCGTTTGAAAGACCTGCCCCGAAATATGCAAGCACAAGAAGAGGGTCATCTTCTTGAATCTACACAACCGAGAGCATTGAGTCTTACTAAATTACTGTCTCAGATCATGAAAATCATCTGAGGTAACAACAGACCTTTGGTATAGCATGTTCAAAACAAACTGCAGCTTCAGGAAACAATTTATTTGAGAACAGGGTTTGTCCCATTCCAATCAACGCCGTAGACAGATCTGGGTTTCTCTCTACTGCTGTCCTGTGTGCAACATTGATCACCAACTCCCATTGTTTGCAAATGGAATAGCCAACAATTGATTAGACAAAGCACAACACCAACTTACCTGATCAGTGGAAGAGCTTGATCTCGGCAGCCAGTCCCCAGATACTGTAATGCTTGCTAGTGATGAACATATAGGTATATGCATCAGAATTCATCCCAGAACAATATTCCAAGACAAAACAATTGTGTAAACATTCATACTTCAAGTAGCTCCTCAGGTGAACTGGACACAGATATATTTCCTTCCATACTTTCCATTACAAAATTAGGAGCTGTACTCTCACTGGCAGTTCCCTTATCAGATGACATCGATTTCGTTTGCAAGTCAGCATCTTCAAGCAGTGGCCTCTGTAAATTCATGATAACTTCAGCATCATGATTCAATTGCACATAATGAAAATAACAAGAGCACATAAAATAGATGGGCATGCCTGCATCATCTCAGGTACCTCAAGAGGTGACTTTTGTGCTCTGTAACCAACCTGAGCCCTAGTATCTGGCAAACCCAACAGCTTGCGGGCAGCATCATTTCTCAAGGACAATTGCTGCGATTTAATCATTTGAAAAAACAGAATGTAACATTAAGTACACAATGCTGACTTCACGGCATCAAGCTTGTTCAAATTAAATTGCATGGAACCTGATCATCTCAAAGGATAGAAATAGGAAATTACAAACAAAAAGGGGAATTGATAAGCATTTTTTCCTGTTGGAGTTTACACAATAGCAATAGAGGTTGGGATGCATCTATCTGTTCTAAGCAACTTCTTCGGGATTCTTGACAGCCGTTGCATTATCATACCACCTGCTGTGGACTATTTAGTATCTCCATCAAGGTGTTCTTAGGATCATATATTAGCCTTCACTTACTGATTTATTGGAGCACAAGCATAAAAATGCTACAAGCTTACAACACATGCCTACCTTGTTGATATTTGAACATGTATTTGATCAATGCCAACACACCCCCCAAAAAAAAAAAAAAAAAAAAGAAAGAAATGAGATAATTCTACCAGGACATGTGATCCATCTTCCCTATTTTTTTGGATGAGGTTTACTATTACTTTACCACAAAAATCATATTGAGATTTAGGCATAGAGTTACTAAGAAAATAATACAAGATTATCACAATATATCAAATTGAAAAGGAAATGACTTCATAATACAAGTAAAAATTATGCTCTAACCTGAGCTACAGAAAATAAACCATTCGTAGTCCAGTAGACCAGGCTTCCCTGCCAATCATAAAGATTACAAAAACCAGAATTCAGCATCTGAATTGCTATTTGGGTGACAAGTGTGATACTTCTTCTGCAACCAGTTTGGCTATAATAAGCATGTTGGTGTAGCAAAAATATCATTGAGTAAACAATTTCGTGCAAATTAGTTCACATCATCTCACAATGTATGAGTATTGTACTTTTAGTTTCAAATCCTACGAAAAGAAATCAGGTTTTGCCACAGCCCACAGTTCTGCACAACCTGCTTTCCCTCTCCAGATGCAATATCTTATTCATCCAACTGTGTCTAGTTTGCTTCTGAGAGCACAAGCAGAAATTAGTGGCGTCTGCCTGTCATTATTGTGATATTAGAAGGATTGTAATGTAATGCGAATGGAACAATGTGCCATAGAGTGTATTGCTGGAAACCAATGCAAATACTAAAGCATCTGCAGTGGTTATGAAATTCCACAATAATAATTAGGCCAATTTATTGCCCAGCAAACTTGAGAACAAAATCTGGAAATGCTAATCGACCACACAGCATTTGTCCGCAAGACCGCAACCACATAAAAACAAAATGCAAGTATCTGATCGGAGGAATCACATATGCAATAAAACAAAGGAAAAATGCAAGTAACTGACCTGAGGAACCATGTATGCGATAAGAAACAAAGGGATAGTCAGGACATCGAGGTATATTCTATAGTACTGCAAACAGGAAAGAAATATTTTCAGAACAAGACAGATTTACATAAAAGTAGCGAAAATAGAAAACGTCCAAAGTAAACAGTCAACCTGAAATAAATTCACAGGTATCTCAATGGACCTCACTAAAGAGGGAAAAAAAATCTTAATACCTAATTGTAGACATCAAGGTTGAGAGCAGCCCATCGAACATAATTCATACCTCTAAGAATGGTATTATGCGTATTCATATGTACCAACAATAGCTTGTACTTGGGTATAAATCCGGAGGTCAGTATAGCAACCACATCAATCATACAAATGCAACAACAATGGCATTTGGCAGTGGTGGTTCCAGTGCAATGTAACAACAGAAAGAAAACAAGTGGGAGACAGTTGTAATCATAGTTGTTAAAATCTTGATTCTATCATCTAATTTTACGACTTTATGACCTTAGTTGATTGTGTTGATTCTATGATTCTATTAAGTAGAATCTACGATTTTGTGATTCTAGTAGTTATGATCGATTTGCGATCCTACCGTTGGAGTTCCCATCGGATTCAGGATTATGATTTTAACAACCTTTTTTTTGAGCGGAAAATACAGCAGGGGAGGCCCCCACTGTAAACGTTTTATTAAACAAAAATAACACCAACTCTATACAAGAAGAAACAAAAAGGGAAGCATGCCCGAGGAGGGCAGCAGAGCTAAACTAGAGCAGCTGTACAAGAAAGGAAGACAGAGTGCTTAACAGAACTGAACCCTAAACCCAGAACTGAATCTATGGGATTTTAACAACCTTGGTTGTAATGCTAGTAATATTTACCATCTAAACCCCACAAGTGTTTCATTGACCTCCACTGATTGCCACCAAACAAGTAAAAGGGGCAGTTCATCATCATTAGTCCGATAATTTACTCCACATGACACCCTGCTGCTGTCAGGGGCTCAGGACCATCCAACCATGTCCAAAACACTTCATTTCATCAATTGTAGGTACCCCCATGATCCAAGTAAGCTAACAACATCATATGGGCCATAGCTCCTAAGGCCAACTGCCCAAGTACACTATACACATCATATATACTTAGATTAAAAGAACACTTGATTTTCTGATTGATGGCCACCATCCATGTTCTTTACTCTTCATTACAAAATCTGAGTAATGGGTTACTTATGCTGATAATTTATTAAGAATTTACAACAGCTAGTCGACTAGCTACATGTATCCCTGTGATTGGTTTTCTGGATCATACCTTAGCCAGCAAGCCAAAAATTCCTGGATGATCCTTGATCTGGGACCCCTGAAAAGAAATCTGAGACAACAGATGAAGTCAGTCTCAGGGAGAGTTTAGAACAAACAAACTCCTAGTATCATAAGATTACAAACCATCATTGTTGATCTACTTAGCAAAAAAATAACTTAACAATGTTTCTATTTAAACGAAAGGTTTTATAAGAACATGGCCAAACTTAACACATATCACAGTGCTGACCCCTGCCCCTCCCCCCAGGTTCTATGTTTGGAAAGATCTTTTGAACATTAACACACTATAAGACAAAAAATGATTATCAGAAACCAAAATCACCAGTTCACACCAACCTATAATCCATCCAACAAGGTAACCCTTACTGCACTAGTTTAATCTAAGCTCATAATAGACCCTCAATGTTGCCATCGCTTGTACACCAACTTGCTTGCACGATTCTTAACCACACGTTGTATGTGAAATTCAAACTAATTATCACACAGTGAGAACCTACCAGAAGGAAATTAACCCAGCCATGAATTTTAACTTGTTACACTTTCCGTGTGTTGGCCTGGTACTAGAGACTAGACTTACAAAGCAAAAGGAAACACATTGTAAAGGGAGAATAGTAGACAAAGCCGTTCAAAACAGAAATTGGCAAGAGAGTACCTGAACATTTAGGTAATGCAGACCAGCAACTAAGATAGGAAAGATGGGACCTAAAGTGCCATGTGGAAACTCAGACAAGTTATGGAACCACAGAATCCCACCCTGTTTAGTAGTACAGAAATAAACAATAGGAAGTTAAATCTATATTAAATCAAAAGGAGTTAACCATGCAGCGTAATAGTATGAATATAATCCTTGCAAAAAAAGTATGCTTCACAAACAGGATACACTTGCCATTAGACAATGTATATCTGGGAAATAAATGGTAACTATAGTACTATACTACTATCAATACTAGCATATAGTTTGATATGTTTTTGGCTTTTTGGCACATCAAGTCTAAGTGTTGCCCATATGTCCTTTCTTCTCTTGTATATATACCAGTTTTCAACTCAATACAACTTATTTGTTGAGTGCCTAACATGGCATCAAAGCTTTACGCTATCAAACCCCAGTGAGTCCATATTCACTACCCTGATGTTGGCAACTTTGGCTGACTAGCTTCAGCCGAATCCAGTCCGCAACCTCTTCAACCACCTCACCATGCCCCTGGATATACATTCCCTTTACCTAACAACTACAATTATCAACAGCTCTGAATCTCTAAAAGAACTAATGCAACTTAACGTATGTTAAGCAAGATATCTCTAGTAGCTCAACTGACACAGTAGTTCCTTAAAACACCTGGGACCACATGGTATCAATATTCAATAATGTAATCCAGTACTTCACACCTTGGCATCTTTTTCTTTCTTCTCATAGCTAGGTAAAGTACAAGTAAGTGCATTAAACTCTATGCAATTGGCCAATAGTGACATAGTAATTCTAGTATTGAATATGGAGTATAAACGTTTGTTATAGTTTCAATAAGTTGCATCCTAACTGTGAAATTAACAACTTAATCTTTGTGTAAAACATCAACAGTTAATCTAAACAATACAATAAAGAATATAGAACATGACTACATATAAAATGGAAACAGTATCAACAACAACTATGGCTGCTAACATTGTGGCCTTAACTCCTTAAGAATCATATCATACTCTCTTCACGAAATATGGGACTAGTACAAGGAATAGAGGAAAAAGTACAGAGATACCTTGAACATACATTATCAAATCCAGGGTGATTATTCAAGCACATGTTCCGTATACTCATCATCCAAAGTATAAAGCAAGGGAACTGCAACAAAATAGAGAGGGCAGAAGAGATGAGAACATAATTAGGAACAACAAAATGTACATTCCAAAATCAACTGACACCATCATAAGATCTGTAACTAATATTAAACTATGTGAAGGGCAGAAGCCAAAAGATCTTATCACAATATTTATATCATTACCTGTACCGAAAAATAGGCAAAATTCCAAAGAAATGAGGGACAACCAAGCTCCTTCCTTTTCTTCTGGAACAGAGCATACTGTTCAGGGAAATTATTTCCAGGCTGAGGAGTGGGTAATGAAGTGGACACTTCAAAAAAAAAGATATAGGAGAGTCCAATCAGAAACACATGGAAAATGCACAATCTATTAAAGCCAATGCCACAGATGTATCTTTGAAATCGGGCTCCCATAACATAAGCATTTTGAGTCAAACAATATACTAGGCAGTAGGCGTTATCATACTATTACATCAGGAGGGGGTATTGATCGATTTGTTTGTTTGAATCGAGACACAGGGGTATTGATAATTGATTGTCACTGGGTGCTAAACATATTAAATTACATAAATAAAACCGTTGGGAATTTAGAATATACTTCTGCTCAACTTCTGTGAGATGCATAAAGACATTGATCAATTTGTTTTACAGGCATCTGACAGCCAATAAGTTGCTGCATCACCATAGAATATACGAAGCTTGCAGAGCAGGCAGTACAACTTACATTTTCGGAATATTTCACCAATTTTAGCAGTCTTCTGAAGCTGCACTATGAGGGCAGGAAGTATCAACAGTCTCATGGCCACAGTAGAAAAGGAGATTGTCATCCACCTGTGGTGAACATGAACAATTAAACTTAAACTAGACTCGTTGGTTCAATGACAGGGGATACCCATAATATATGCAAAAGTACAAGCAAAAACGATATTCTAAGCAAAATCATAGCCTCAAACTGGCACGAGAGAACGTGTTGCCAAAAATAACGGGAAATGGAAAGCTTTTTTTCAGCAGTAAGAGGCCAACCACGGCAGTCCGGTGAGGCTATGGAACCCGTCCATGAGGTCCAAAACTGTGCTAACAGCCAATTCCGACACTCCCCCGACGCCGTCGGCCGTGGCGCCGGCGGCACCTCCCACGGCATCCGCCGCAGCACCCGCTCCGCTGGCGACCCCTTCCCCGTCATCAACATTTGTCACGCCATCCAAGTGCACGCTTTCCTTCTCGGTGTACACGTCCTCTCCGGGAGCATCCGCGTCAGCGGTGCCGGAGCTGGGACCAGAACCGGACCGGAGCGGGAGTACCACGAGAAGCTTCGCGAGTGAAGAGCAAAAGGAGGGAGCTCACGAGGGGGCAACGGGAGCGCGGGGATCGGAAGTGGGTGGTGGTGGTGGTGGTGGTTGTGGCACGGGCTCTGGGAAGCAGCAGAGAGGTGAGCAACGACGGCGGCGAGCGGCGACGGGAGGAGGCGGCGGCCGATGAGGCGAACCGCAAGCGCCATGGCGTTCGTCGCGTGGATGCAAAGGGACAAGGTCTAAACCCTTGACACGTGCAAGCTCCTAGCTGTTCGATCAGTATCAGACGGCTCAGATCGATTAAAACCAGTAATTTATCGGAAGGACCTCTCATTTTCTCTCTAATTGCCGATGAGTCGTACTCCCTCCGTCGTTAGTACGCTTCTTCCCCCTTACTTTCCCCCCCTGCTCAGTGCTCACTTCCAATGGCGGACCCAAAGGGTAGTCCAGGAAGGTCCAGCACTACCCTGGAATCTGGCCCAAAAAATTTTTAGTAGACAGAATTTTCGATCTTTTAGCCCATAAAAAATCTGGTCCAAGAAAGAACCGAAAGAAGCCACATCCCGTCCCGAGCCCCCGAGGCCGCGAGTCTGCGACACTTGACCGTGAGGCGGACGGCGTCCCTGCGGACTCCACCAGCTCGAGCGCCGCCGTCCCCGAGCACCGAGGTCGAGCTGCCCAAGCGCGGAGCGCAAAGACAGACTGCCGGCCGCCGCCGCCTGGCCGGCTGGGCTCTGGCGCTAGTCGCTGATTCTTAGAAACTGTCTTGGCCCTGACCGTTAAGTGTGCCGAGGCGCCGAAAGCGATCTGGGACCCATGGCATGTGAGTCCACTGGCAAAGGCGGGAGCTGATCCTGCGGTCTAGGCGGCGGCGGTAAGATGGTGATGGTGTCAGGCGGCGGGGGAACGCGTGGGCGAAGGAGATGACCATCCGTCGCAGGATAGCCAGCATGTGCGCTCCACACCCTGATGCAATCTCTCTGTTCTTTGTAAGAAAATGGATTCTTTTCTATCAAGCTGCTAACCACCATTATCTGTATGGATTTGGGTTCAGATTCAATAAGACGTAGGAACACTTCCCTACTCTGAAGGACTACAACGATTATTTGGAAGAAGTTGAGGATATGAGTGAGTTGTTTCCCCTGTTTGTTAATTTATTATTCTTGAATTATACCAATTGGGAAAAACTTAGCAGGTTTGATTTTTCTTTTCAAGCTTTCAACCTGATCGAAGGGATAGATGTCGAGGCGATTGAAGCAAAAATTGCAACATACCAACAGGAAAATGCGGAGCAGATATACTTGTCCAGAGCTAAAAGGGTGTGTTTTGTCATGATCTCTGATGTAGTCTTATGGAGTACCGAAATTCCTGTTGAAATGTTTTACTCTAACCTTTGACATATTCATATATCTGATTGAGAAAGATTTATCTTTTATGTATAGCGTGTTCCTTTATAGGCGGAAGATCTTGCAGCAGCACTTAAAGCAAGCAGGATGAACCCTGTAAAGGCCGAGGCCAATGATACGGTCAGTAGATATTTTCAAGATATATGTTTTCTTCATAAAAAAAAGTATGAAGGTTATAAAATAAAATATGGGTTTTCTTCAACTTCGAATTCTGAATGTCTGATAGCTGGCTGTGTAAGTACATGAGCAATCCCATCATGCTGGTGTCACTGGTAAGCTGCTTGCATGGGAAATATTTGGTACTACCATTTATAGTAGGTTAACCAGTCAAACTTCTAGTAAACATCATGAGAATATGGTAGTGATGAAATACTAAATCATGAAGTGACAGCTTTCAGATTTATCACCTTCACATCTTATCAACATGTTCTATTGGTAATTGCCATCATAATCACAGTATTGGCTGCATGTTTTGCACTAGAAAAAAATTGACCTATGCAGGAGTGGTGATTTGGTGATCAAAGGGGCAATCTTTTAGCAAGTTAAATCCTTTGCCAGCTTGTTTACCTTCGTTATGCATTTTTTCCGGTATACATATATATTTGCATAGATGTCTTACATCTTTAGATATTGCCCTACCCGACCAACATGACCACAAATGAAATTTAGTAAAGGCATGCTATTGTCATCTTCACTTTGTATCCTTATATGATCATGTTCAGTTTTTCGTCTGGTTTGACTCACGCATATCTCGCATAAAGAACTACTGTAAAGTTCCTTGTCCTTTCATTATGTTTCTCTATACTGTACTGCTTTACTTTGATACTATTTGTTTCTTGAGAGGTTGATGCATTGATATCGTGTTCTTGGTATAAATGCCAACACTTGGTGCTCTTGCAATCTGTAACAGGCTGCTTGGAGTTCTCAGGGTATTAGTGGTGGGGCAGGAGTTCAGGGCCAGTATGCACCTGCCGCTGTTCTTGGGGGAGTGGCTCAGCCTCGCCCCACAGGTATGGCTCCCCAACTAATGGGCAGTCGGTCAGATCCTCTTCAAGGAGATGACAAGGAGACCAGGAGACTACGTGCAGAGCGAGCAGCACGAGCTGGTGGATGGACTGCTGAATTGAGTAAGAGAAGAGCACTGGAGGAGGCGTTTAGCGCCATATTCATCTAGGACTAGATCAAAAGGCAACACATGGCCTGGAGGAAAGCCAGTATATTTAAAATGGCCGTCAAACAACTGCACAACGTTGGATGGTCTATACCGCGATACCTTCATTGGGACATGGAATTCTCACAGATTTTAGTGAAGTACTACCTATTAGCACCAAGTGAGCCTGCGGTCGCAAAAGCATCCTTTGTGTGCAAGCTAGAAAATGCACATTGTTGTGTACCTTGTTCGTCTCAGGTCATCGTGACAGTCAAGACTTGTGACTGTTCTTTTGTATAAGGACAAGATACGCTTTACGAGCCTCGGGTCATCGTGACAGTCAAGACTTGTGACTGTTCTTTTGTATAAGGACATGATACGCTTTACGAGCCTCGGGTCTCAGACGTACCACCCTCCGTCCCAAATTATTGGTCGTTTTGGGTTTTCTAGGTGCATAGCTTTTGCTATGTACCTAAATATACGATATGTCTAGATACATAATAAAAGTTGTGTATTTAAAAAGTCAAAACAATCTATAGATTGGGACAGAGGGAGTAAAAAGAAATTGTCCCATGATATTTGTTTTTGTGAGAATTTTTTTCAAATTCAAATATTCAATCTACTGTGAGTCTGTGAGTCATTGACCTCTTCTAGCTGTGTCTGATTCAGACAACTAAATGTATCCTTTACTCTTAAAGTTATAGCATGTCAAGTACTCTCTCTAGATCAAGGGGGCTGTCTGCAAGAGAACAAAAAAGACGTACTGTAGGCTACCAAGAGCTGTGAAGTACAGTAGAGAACCAAGAAACAGATCTTGACAAGGTTCAACAAACAATCTATATATCATACAAAATCAACAGGGATCTAGTAAGGAATTACGCAACAAGATGGGTTTCTCATGACTTTGCAGGGAATATGGTTATGCGCCTCAAACAAAATAAAAACATGGTTCATAGGTCACATACCTGGAATTTAGACTGGAAAACATCTTGTATGTCTGAAAACATTACATCCCACATTAGAAGGCCAAAGATAGTCATCCAAATGCCACCTTCTGAATGGGTACCTTGCCAACCGCCACCTTCATCAGCATAATATTGTAAAGCCAACTGTTCTACCCCACAAAGTTCCCCATCGTAACCATAAAATACATTCTTGCTCCTGTCTCGCAATTTAATGGCCTTCCTTCAATACTTACTTATTAATAATAGAAGAACAACAAGCATAGATATTTAGCATGAAAATGTAACAGACCAAAAAAAAAGTGAACTTTTGCCACCAGTGAGGACAGCGAGGGTGATATATACCTCTCTTATATTTCTCTTAACATAATCAGCATAACTGGGAACTTTCCAGCGTCGTGGAGGTTTGCTTAAACGCAGCACTCTCCTTTGCCGCGCGAACTTTGAACCAGCACGGACCCATGGATCAATTGCTCCTCCTCCAGCTGTGGAAAGGCTCTCATTTGGACGACCCATATGCTCCAAATCAACGGATAGCCTCAGTGTCCAATATCCTCGCCGTCTATCACAAGCAACTTTACTAAGTAGTATCTTTAGAATCCTTATTGCATCTTCATACCTATAAATTTTGATTGGCATGAAATTTGGATCCCTAGAAACTAACAAGATTTCTAAGAAGGTTTCTGAGGAAAGAGTTTAATGAGCCCTTTAACAGAAGGGCATGTAAAAGTGTATGTGCAACAAATTGCCAGTGCGTCACATGCTCAAGTATCTATCACCGATCACACTTAAAAGTGACCCAATATGAATTCAAGTTGTAGAGAAAGAAAAACTACAACTTTGTAGTTTATGAGTTTTTTCATTTAAGATCGTTTAGATACCTAAAAGGTTGAAACAATGTTTAGATCTAGATCTATATTTGTAGATCGAAACATTATATCGATTATTTTGGTTCCAAGATGCCTTCAAACGAAACTATTGTGAGCTGAAAGGTTTTACTTTTATCATTAAATACAATTCATATATAAAATTTATCTTTATATGTGACTATATAAATAAGTTATAATTTTTTAAAGATGTGTTATGTAAGGGTGCAAATAAATTGCCTCAATTTATCCACTAGCTAGCGCAACTTATTTTAGAAAAAAAAAACATAACTTCTTCCTATAACCTCGAATAGGGATAATGTTTGCAAATATATTATAGATACCTAAGATATCTACAATTTTGTAGTCTACAATATTTTCATTGAACCCATCTTGATATCTTAATGAACAATTTAATGTTCAGATCTACAAATACACATATGAACATTGTATCAGTTTTTATATCAAAACAAACTCAAATAAAAAAATCATAAACTACAAGTTGTAGATCTCTTTTTCTCTAGAACAAAGCTTTGCCTTCATTCAACTTTATATGTAAAAGTTATGATTTTTATAAGATGAGCTAACAAAAAAAGGAAAATTTTACTAATTCAACCAGCGGTAACTAATATTCAGCCAACCCAACCGATGTTATGTCATTCTCGCCGCTTCAATCAAAAACAATAGTATAAGGCCCCATTTGATATAGCTCAGCTTCACTAGTGAGTTTTTTTTTGCAAAACAATTTCACGAGCAGCTTTCTAAGTGAAGTTGAGTTGTTTCATAAAAATTGTTTCACAAAGTAGCGTCACCAACAGCTTCATGCATGCCAAGAGAGAGAATGAGGGAGAGAGCTCTGAAAAGCTGGTTTTTTCAGCTTCACCTCTCTCCATTTCTCTATGAGAGCATAAAAAAGAGTTTCACCCTTGAAGCTATTTTAGAAAAAAAAAATTAAAATTAAATATAAAAATAATCTCATTCCGATAGGCAGATCGCAATGGCAACCAAAAGGAAAAAGTCCACATTACCTCTCTCAATTTTCGTGAAAGTCCGTTTTTCCTCCCTGAACTCCAAAACCAGGCAAAACACCTCCCTCAACTTTTAAAACCGTTTATCTTACCTCCTTAGCCCTGTTATAAACAATTTTTGAAGGCGGTTTTGTCTTTTTTTTTTTATTTATTTTAGTTGAATCTTTAAAAAATCATAGTAAATCACAGAAAAATCATAAAATAGAAAATCTAATTTTATTGGACTCCACATGAGTAGATCTACACAGTGAACATATAATATAGTATGCTTTAGTACAAAGTTTTTGTTGTGGCTTTAGATTTATGCTTTTCTATAATTAATTAGAATAATTCGTAGCTGTGGTTTCTATGGTCCAATTGTGATGGATTTTTATAGTGAGCTAATTATTGTATGATTGAAATGTAGTAAAAATTTCATACTCATTGGATCTTGTATAGCTTAGTTATAGATTTATTTATATTTAACAAGCATAAACCTAAATAAAATATATAAGTAAGTTATACATGATCCAATGAGTATGAAATATTTACTATAGTTTAATCATACAATAATTAGGCCACCATAAAATTTTTATCACAATTGGACCATAAAAACTACAGTTATAAATTATTCCATTTAATTACAAAAAAGGATAAATCTAAAGCTATAACAAAAACTTTGTACTAAATCATACCATATGATATGTTCACAGTGTAGATCTACTAATATAGAGTCCAACAAAATTAGATTTTCTATTTTATGATTTTTCTATGATTTACTATATTTTTTCAAAGATTCCACCAAAATAAATAAAAAAGAAAAAACAAAACCGTCTTCAAAACTGCTTATAACCGGGCCATGGAGGTAAGATGAACGGTTTTAAAAATTGAGAGAGTTTTTTTCGGATTTTGAAGTTTAAGGAGGAAAAACGAATTTTCACGAAAATTGAAGGAGGTTTTCAAAATGAAGTCGGCAAAGATCGGAGGGTTTTAGGACTAGATTGCAAAATTTTGCAAGTTCAAGCAGGAAAACGCTTCGTTTTTTTGACAAACTTTGTCCGATCATGGGCTGAGGCTCAAGTCTCATGATTTACAACCAAACTGTGTAATTAGGAATTTAAGTTTCGGCACGCATCGATAGAGAGAAAAAAACTTTAAGTTTTGAGACAATCTAAACGAGGCCTTATTGGGCCGTGGCTGTGGCACCTACGAATGCACTGGGCCCTGCGTGGCTGCGTGTGGTCAGCTAAGGCTGTCCGCACCGCAGAGCGGTAAAAGCGTCTGCAGACGCGCGCGCGCGCCTGGACAGCCGCACCGCAGCCCTGCAAACGCTGTCGCGCGTTCCGGCCGCACAGCGCTAAACACTGTAGCAAGAGAAAGAAAGAGAGTTAGGGAGAGAGAGAAAAGGGGAGAGAGGGAAATAAAATAGAGAATAGTGGGTATAGAGTATGGGATAGAGATAACACGGGTGCGGGAGAAATAGATATAGAGTAGAGAATCTCGATGACTAGGATAGAATATTTTTTTAAGATGGAAATAGAGGTCAACGAGTGTGGATAGCCTAAGCTAGCTATACGAATACGATGCGGAGGGAGTGGCGTTCGAATTTTTTTTTAAAATTTTAACACTTTTTGCAAATTAATTTTAAATTTAATACTGTTTGTTTTTTATTTTTAAATCTAACACTTTTGGTCACGTCTATTGCCATAGCACGGTGAAATGCTTGTGCCGCGCCATGCATAGTGGCGCGGCGGGAGGATGACGTGGCAAAAACCGGGGACGCTGACCGGTGACATGGTAGGGTCTGCCGCGCCATCGATCTTAGCGCATCACTGACGCGCCATAGCTAACGGCGCGGCAGTTCCAGGTCTGTGCATCTCAGCCAGCAGCATTGTGAGTCCGATGTTAGCACTTAAGTTGACATCTTTTCTCAAAATGGGTAATGACCTTTATGAGGCTAGAGCTGTAAAGATGGATGGAACAGAAAGGTATAGCAGCTGTAAAGTTGGTATAAAAAAAAGAAAGAAAAAGTTGTTTAAATCTTTAACTAGAAAGGTTGAATTAATTCAGTAGCCAGTACTACCGTGGGTGATCAAATCGCATTGATATTGTCTCTCAAACCCAAGTACAAAAGAACTCAAGGAAATAAGGAATACTACTGTCCATGAAAACAATCAATACATGATGGA